CCCGGCCCGCGCGTTTTTTTGTTTTTTTTTTTTTTTTAAAGATGACCGGTAAGGGGATCTCAACCCTTGGCTTGGTGCTGTCAGTACTATGCTCAGCCAGTGAGCCAACCGGGAATCCCTATATAGAATCCGAACCCGTGGCCTTGGTGTTATCAGCACCGCACTCTACCGAGTGAGCCACGGACCGGCCTTACCGGTCATCTTTTGAAAAACAAAACCCCTGCACACCTGGCAACATTTATAGCTCCCTGCCACCCACCCATCATCACCCTACACACCACCCCTCTTACCAAACTGATATACTTGCATTTCCTAAAACATACCCCCCCTGCACACCTGGCAACATTTATAGCTCCCTGCCACCCACCCATCACCCTACACACCACCCCTCTTACCAAACTGATATACTTGCATTTCCTAAAACATACCCTTTCAGGTCTAAGTCTGTGCTACTGCTATTTCTCTGGCTAGATACCTCTAGAATGTCCTGGTGAATTCTCTGAGTCAACCTTTTAAGACTTAAAGCATGGTCCACTGTTCCTTGTACCCCTTCAGTGAGACAGGGGCTGTGTCCTAATTGCCTTTGTATCTCCAGCCCTTTACATAGGACCCGGCCAGGTAAGGGACCAATAATTATGTGCCCCTTGGCCCCATTTCACTAAATTGTTAAGAGTTTAGAGATACGGTCAGCCCGTGGGATGGCCCCAGGATGAGAATCCTCTTGTCCAGTTGTTGATTGGGAAGCAGGTGACATCTAGAACCCTACAGGCATGGGTGGTCTCTTGGGTTCCGGCCACTCACACTAACGGATTTACTTAACCATTCAACAATATACAATAGGCCTGTTGTGCTCCAAACACTCTGCCAGGTGCTGGGGATCAAAGATGAATGGAGAAATTAGTTGGGAGGATATCGTTGAGTTAAAACTTTAAGAACACTAAAAATCTGTAAAAGAAAACAACAATAATCCCCTGCTTCCGTCCAGGTGTGCGGGGGAAGACCCCCCCCCCTGCCCTCCCACGTTCCCAAGGCGAAGATTTGAGGGGAATTAAATCTCTAATCCCCGTTGAGTCTCACTTTCAGGAATGCGTGGGGCCTGAATCGCAACCCGGACCCACTGTTCCTCTAATTCCCAGCATCGGATCCGGGAATTAGCGGTCTGGTTGGCAACCCAATAGCGAGAAGTAGTCCCGAGAATAACCTGAAACTTCCCCCCTGACTCAGGAGACCCCACCCAGACGTCGGTCCCTTAGACAAGCAACTGCCCCTAAGGAGGGTCTCAGGAGACCTTAGTAGGTGCGACCCCTTTGAAAGGAGGCTGGCGGACGCGAGCTAGTGACCACAAAGGGCGTCACAAATCCTATTTCGAGCACCCAGCTCCGCGCCAGAGCCCCGCGCGCTGCTACAGGCCTGGGCTCCGGGGCCGCACCGCTGGTCCCCGCCCCCAGGGCGGGCACCGACCGGCTGTCTCGGTCGCAGGGCGGGGCCGGGTTGAAGATGCGCCGAGAGCTGAGCGAGGCCGCAGGCGGCGGTGGCGGCCGCGAACTCCAGGGAGGTGATGCCACGTGGCCTCATTTGGGTTTCTTTTAAACCTCTAATGTCCAGACCCTGGTCCCAGGACCATGGAGCCCACGCGAGAGTCTCCACTGTTCGGGGGCGCCTTCTCCGCCATCCTCCCCGCCGGGGCAATAGATGTTAGGTGAGAGGGCCCGGGTACCCGCGGAGGCCAACCAGGTGGGTTGTGGGAAGCCGGGGTCAACCAAGGTCTGCCTCGCCTCTCTGCAGCGACCTCCGACCGGTCCCTGACAATCAGGAAGTTTTCTGCCATCCCGTGACCAACCAGAGCCTGATCGTGGAACTCCTGGAGCTGCAGGCCCACGTGCGGGGCGAGGCGGCTGCGCGGTGAGGGAAGGGCCTGCGGCTGGCCAATGGGAGGGCCAGAACCGAGGTAGTGGGCGGGGCCTGGGGCTGGACGGTTAATCGGCGCAACGAGAACTCCAAGGGCAACAGCACAGCGCCGGAAGTGAGCGAACCTGGGACTTAAGGGCAGTAAGAGATGCCCCTTCCTGACCCTGCATCCCCACACCAGGTACCACTTTGAGGATGTTGGCGGGGTGCAGGGGGCTAGGGCTGTGCAAGTGGAGTCTGTGCAGCCCCTCAGTCTGGAGAACCTGGCCTTGAGGGGCTGCTGTCAAGAAGCCTGGGTCCTCTCTGGCAAGCAGCAGATAGCTAAGGAAAACCAGCAGGTGAGGGCCAGGGAGTGTGGAATGCCCTAGAAGGATGAGGGAGGTGGTTCTAGGGATCCAGGTAAACATCCTGATTCTGATTCCTTTAGGTAGCAAAGGAGGTGACACTGCACCAGGCATTGCTGCGGCTACCCCAGTACCAGACTGATCTCTTGCTCACCTTCAATCAGCTCCAGTAAGGAGAAAGGAAAGGGCGGGTGTCTCATGACTGAGTCCCTGGGAGAACTGGGCTGGGAGGAGCAGAACAGGGAGACTGGCTGGTGGGGTCCTCCAAAGATGTGTGAGTGGGCCACAAGTTTGGAGTCACAGATACCCGGGTCCTCTGGGGAACCGGAAGTAGGAACTTCCATACCTCAGGCATGGATGTTGTTCTTTTTCCATCTGTTCCCCACCCTTAAGCCCTGACAACAGGTCATCTCTTGGCCCTGAAAATCTGTCACCTCCACCCTGGTGCCTGGGTGACTTTGAACAGCTGGCGACCAGTCTGACCCTTCATGATCCCAACATCTTTGGTCCCCAGTAAAGACACTGAAGCACTGCATGATGCTGCTGAGGACTTGGGGACTCAGTACCGTGAGGGGAAAAAGAGGTTGAATATCTGGGTTTCCTCTTATTTCTTCCCTGTGCGTAACATAAGACACCTCCTCTCTGTAGAAATAAACTTGCTTTATAACCAATATAATCTCTGTGCCTTTGGATCTAACAGGACACCTGGGTCCCCCCAATTCCCTTTGGTCTTGGAGGGGGGAGTTTAAAGCTGTGCATGGGAGCAGGAGGGACCCAAGGTTGGAAGTGGAGAGAGGGAGGAAATACACTTTGGAGTGACTGGTTCAGCCCTGAGAGGGGCGTGTGAAGTGTGCCGGGAGATGGTTAGGGAAGGCTCGAAGCAACACCCAAGGAAGGGAGGGAAACTATCCCTTGTAGTGATTCAACCCTGAGAGAACAGATGGGGAGGGAGGTTGGCTGTCCCCCTTGAATGGATGAAAGGTCACCTGGTCAGTAGTTACCAGGACATAGTAGTGGAGGAAGAATTGTTCAAGGAGTGCTGATTTGGTGGTGTGGGAAACTGGCTGTTATTTAGTGTAGGTGTAGTAGAGGGAGCGCAGCTGGTCCCAGAAGAAGAGGGAGAGGACAGTGTGGGGGCCAAGGCGGAAGTAGGAGGCACCTATACCCTTGTACATGCCAAAAATGCCCTCTGTTCGAGCCGTCTGCAGCAGAGCGTCCAGTATTCCCCGGTACACGAGGCCCTGAGAGCATGTTTGAAAGGGAGGAAGAGCACAGGGAAGGGAAGGAGCTTGTCAGAGCCCATCAATGGCCTCACCTCTGCAGGCTGCATTTTAGGCTGTCCCACCTGCACCCACAGTCTGCTTCCCCCACCTTCCAGCTTTGCTTGCCTGCCTGCACCCCAGAGCACTCCCTTACCTTGCCCTGAGCATCTGTGGGCTGGTTGTAGAGCCTTGTGCTGGCCACATCAAAGGGTGTCATGGCCAGGACCACTGCAATGCCACTCACCATAGCAGCTACCAGAGCCACCTTCCAGCTCTGGGGAGGAAAGATCTAAGTGAGAGGGTGGGGGAGAGGAAAAGCTTTGTCAATCAGCCAATCACTCAACCCCTAGGACAAAGAAGCCCTGCCTTGGGGACACGGAGAGCTAGTAACTCAAGGAGCTTACATTCTACCAGTTATAACACAGTGTGATAACACTGCAGGAGGAAGGCCAGGGCACACTGAGGGCTCAGGTACCTGTTCTGGGAGGAAGCGATAAGAGAACTGTGGGAAGGGTCTAAAGAGTCAGTGACCCCCAGGCCCTCCTGCTGCTCCCTCACATCTGAATGTTGGCACCATTTAGGGCTCAGCTCAGCTTGCCCTCCCCCTTCCCACATTCTCAGGATGGCCCCTCCCCTTTCCCAGGCAGTACCTCCCACTGGCTTATGAGGTCCTTGGTGGATGAGAAGGTGCACAGCTGGGTAGAGGAACCGACGATAACTCGGGGCAGGCAACCCATGGCCCCACGCCACAGCCCCACCAGACCATGTTTCTGGCCAATCTCGGTTAGCGCCTGAAACATGCCCTGGTTGGGGGGAAGACCATGGGGGTGGGGTTCAGTCACCCCAGCATCAGGGGTTGCCACCTTCTACACTGCCAAGGATGGGTCCTTAATAGGCACTCGTTGTCTAGACAAACAGTTCAATGTGGGCTTAGAGCTAGAATGTGGGTCCTCTGTTGTCTACCACCCTGTTATTCCCTCCCTGGCCACCCCAGAATAGGGGAAGGATGTATGGAAGTGAGAATATTAGTAGGTCAGTCGAATGGGGTGGAGAAACAGGGGCACAAGTTAGGGGAACAGGGGTACATGCTGGAAAGAGGGGCTGGGTGGACTCCAGGGCAGAGTGGGGCTGAATTAATGGGTTGGGCAGAGCAGTGGCCAGGGCTGGAGCTCTCAGGTACAGGCAGAAAGCTGGGGGCAAATGGGAAAGGATGGTCAGGGGCTCCAACAGGGTTGGGGAACCCTCACCTGATGCTTATACTGGTGTCCTACGGCAATTTCTGAGGCTGCCTGTGCCTGTAGGTGTGTCTTCACCTGGGAACATGAGAGTATCACAGCCTATGCCCCAGTGGCCATCCTCTCACCTCAGAAACCCAAATGCCTGACCCCTGAACACTTCCTCTAGAGTGTTCAGCAATGAATATCCTTTTAATCTGATAATTATTGTTGTTCCCACTTAACAAATTGGTCATGAGACTGTGTTCCTTGGCTCCAGTCCCAGGGGATGGATCTCCTAGCACTGTAAGATACTCCACCCCCTCCACATCCTCTTTTCCTTAGGGCTTGGGGTGGGGGATGGAGAAGTTAGGGAAAGGCAATATTTCCTAAGAATGTTCACGTTAGGCAAGACCTGAGTGTCTAGCCTCTCATGCCAGCTCCCATTCCCAGACTAGATCTCCAGCCATCACCTTGACTAGGCTTTTCATCAGAATCTGGGCAAAACTTGCTCTCTGGCCCCCAAATCCCATAGGGGATTGTGTTCAGCTGACTTTGGAGAGACCACTATCCATGAATCACACACCCTGGGAGTGAGACCATACTGTCTCTCCTTCTACGGAACATCCTGCCTTCCAGTCTCTTTTGCTCTTAGGAGCACTAAGCTGGGCCTGGCCCTAGCAATAAGTAGCTGTGTGACCTTGAATCAGTCACTTTCCCTCTCAGGGCCTCAGGCTCTTGACCCTTCACTTATACCAGATAACTAAAAAGGGCAGACTGAGATTGTAATTCTGTGATGCGCAGGACCTTCCTGATCCCTACACTTGCTGATCTATGTTACTCAAATTCCTCATCCTCCCCTACACAAATCCAACCTCAATATCAGGTAATAATAGTAAAAGCAATACTATCAAATGCTTACTATGTGCCAGGATATGTACTAGTGCTTTACCTGTATTATCTCATTTGTCTTCCTCAGTCCTCCCATTAATCACGCAAAAAGGGCACTACAATCATCCCCATTTTACAGATATGGCAACTGAGGCTCAACAACTAGTAATTTTCAAAGCCAGGATTTGAGTTTCAGAAAGGCTGATTCCAAAGCCCATAATCTTAATCAATACATTCAATTGTGTCCATTGAATAGGTGTGTATAGAGCAGATCAGAAGACCCCAAAGCCTGCCAGCACTTTCCTGATACCCTTCCCTGCCTCGTGTGCCCTTGTGAAAGACCAGGCTCCTACCCTGCACCAAGGGTATGCCCTGAAGGCCCCGGGAAAGACCCCTCTTCTTACCATATAAATGGGGCTCCCCAAGTAGGCTCCCATCATTCCAGCCAGGGCCCCAGATGCTGCGCTGCGGACAGGACTGAGGGTGCCTTCGGCCGTGTGCAGGTAGCCCCCAGCCTCAGCCAGCCCATAGGTGCCCAGTCGGATGCCATTCATCAGGAACTGGTATAAGAGGGCAGGGGCCAGGCCCTTCTGCAGAGCAGCCAGGCCATCCACCTTGCCGATGGTGATGAAGGCGTGGAAGACGTTTCGGTAGTGCCGCTGGTAGGTGCCGGGGGCCCGCAGTTCTCCCTGCAACTGCATCCTGGTCTTCACCACCTCCAGGGGATTGGTGAACACACAGGCCCCGCAGGCTGCCAGACCACTCATCAAGAAGTCCATTGTGCAGCAACAGTAGCAGGAACGGGCCCAAGAGTAAGAAAGTCAAAATAAGCCTCAGAAAGGGGGGTCTGAAGTCGAGGGAAGACCTTGGTTTCAGAAATCCCGACTACAGGAGGTAGGAATTGAGAAGGCTGGAGTCAGGGGTGCCGGGGTCAAAGGTCAAGAGGTCAAGGGTCCGGAGCTGGCAAAGGGAAGAGTTTAGGAGAACCCGGCGAGAAGGTTGACAGGGCCCTGTTGGTCAAGGGATTTGGGGTCAAGGAGGCCAAAAGCCAGGAGGTGGCAGGTGGGATGCTCGGGATGGAGGGCTACGGGGGCCGGGAAGCAGTGCAGGGAAACGCGGAGTTGGGAGACGGGAGCTGGGAAGGCAGGAACAAGAAAACCAGCCAGTTAAGGAGGAAAAGGAGCCGGGAGAAGATCCAGGGGCGTCCCGGGACAGCAACGAGATCTGGATTCGCGAAGGAAGTCGGGGCTCCAGCCAGGGATGAGCGTCCCCAGGAGCCCCCAGCTGCTTAACCCGGGAAGCCTGCCGAGGCGGGGCCGCTTCCCTCCAGTTACCGGAGCGCGGCGCCAATGGGGACCCCGGAGAGCCGCCGCCCAGAGCCTCAGCCAATCAGCGCCGAGCCGGCTCGACGGCCAATGGGAGGCGCGCTCGGCGGCTCCGCCCCCGGAACCTGTGGGCGGAGCGGCGCTTGGGATTAACTCTCCGCGCCCCGGCGCCCGATCCCCGCCGCGGACTTGGGCTGCGGCCCGGGCTCGAACCCGAGCTGCGGGAAGGGTGCCCGGGGCGCGGAGGGTTTGTGACTGGCGGGGAGGAGAGGTCGGACCCTGGGTTAGCGGATGGACGCAGAGGCGGAGCGCAGAGGCGGCAGTCCCCCAGGAGGCGCTGCTCCTCTTGCCGGCAGAGGGCTCCCCTCCGTCGCCTGCCATCCCCGGAGACCAGGGTGGGGCCGCTCCGCCCGCGGGGGGAGAGGGGACACTCCTGCGGGACGGGACCCATCTCCTGAGGCCGAATGAAGAGATTCCAGGTCCTGGGGCCGGGGACTGGCTGGCTGTCCCACTCCAAGGAGGGTGGCGAGGGAGCTTGTTCAAATCCCTCAGCTCTTTGGGTCCTCACAGAAACCCGGAGAAGGCAGGGCGGGCCCAGGCCGAGATTTTGATCCACTCTACGGCTGGGCTTAGGTTACAGAGAGCCAGCAGGTGGTGGGAGATCCTGAGGTTCTGGACTCCTGTCCTTGCTCAGGAGTCTGGTAATGGTTATCAAGAAAGAACTTCTGAGAAAAGAGACTGGGGGAGCTAGCTGGGAAGGGGTGGAGGGAGAAGGCTTAGGAAAAGAAGGTAGAGGGATAGGGAATGTTACCTGGAGCGGGAGGAAGTGGCAGAGAGCGCCCCTGTGTGCGAGGCAGCCCCCAGATTTAGAGTACCATTCGAGTTCCAGTTTGGCTCTTCCTGCGTGGATGGCCTCGGGCCTCAGGCCAGTTACTTAACATCTTAGAGTCCCCTTGCAAATTGAGACTGATAATGTCTATTGCACATAACCTGAGAGTACTGTTGTACTTGTGCTAGGTAATCAATAATCAGTTTTCCTGAAAAGTCAAGAGTTGTCAGAACTCTGTGCCTTGTATATTTCTGTCCTGTATATCTTGTTCTTACTACCAGGAATGCTCTTTCCCTCTTATTGTGGGGATCTCCAAGACATTCTTCACCTCGACCATCAACTCGATCTGTGAAGCATTTCCAAATTCTCCACATTCAGCCTTCCCCATCCTGTTTTGTTCTTAAAGTATTTGCCCACTTTTCTCATTTTCTCATTTTGGTTAGCAATTGTTCACTTTCTGACTTCACCAGACTTGGAGTTCCTGGATGCCCCAGGTCTGAGTCATCTCTATCTCGGGGTTCCTGACCTCGGGAGGAGCCCTTAAAGGGTTTCCAGAAAATTTCCAAGGAATGCTCTCTAAATACCTGGGGATGAGATTTCACTGCTCCCCCCCCCCCCCCTTTGCGGGTGGCCAATACAGAGATCAAACCCTGGACCATGATGTTATCAGCATCATCCTCTAACCAACTGAACTGACTTGCCAGCCCTTCACGGTTGTTTTAAATCTTGAGTTTACATAAATCTGTGGTTCTCAAAAGTGTGGTCCCTGAAGCAGCAGCAGCAGCAGCAGCATTACCTGGAACTTATTAGAAACACAAATCCTCTAGCCCTTCCCTAAACTTTCTGAACCAGAGCCTCTGGAGATGGAGCCTGGACAATCTGTGTTTGAAAAACGTAAAAGTGTGTGCTAAAGTTTTAGAACCCACTGGCTTAAGCTTTTTATCTTTAACACCAGATGCCTTAGAGATAGACAACTTTTAAGGTGTTATTTAAAAAAAAAAAAAGCTTAATTTCTAGAACAGTTTTCTGAACATCTTAATTTTTTGAACATCTTGTTCAGAAAAATTAAAGATACTGTGTAAGTTCTTATATACTTTACATCCAGTTTCCCCTATTATTAATATCATATATTAATATGATACATTGTTACAAATAATAGACCAATATCAATATTGTTATTAACTAAAGTAGTACTTTACTTAAATTACCTTTATTTTTGCATAAAGTCATTTTTTTGTTCCAAGATCCTATCAAGAATACCAAATTACATTTAATATCCCCTTAGACTCCTCTTGGCTGTGACAGTTTCTCATATTTTGTTTTTGATGACCTTGACAGTTTTGAGGAGTACTGGTCAGGTATTTTGTAGAATGTCCTTCTCTTTAGGGTTTTCCTCATGATTGGACTGGGGTGTAGGCAGGAAGTCCACGGAAATAAACTGCCATTTTCATCACATCATATCAAGGGTGGTTCTTGATACATACTATCAACATGAGTTATCACAGTGATATTGACCTCGATCACCTGGCTGAGGTAGTGTTTGTCAGTTTTTTCCACTGTAGAATTATTACTTTTTCCCCTTTTCCATACAGTACTCTTTGGAAGGAAGTCACTATGCACAGCCTACACTGAAGGAATAGGGAGCCATGCTTCCCCTCAGGGAAGGTGCACTGCCAGATGCTCCAGGCTCATTTCATATATTTTCTGCTCCAGTCCTACAATCAACCATTTTTCCGAGGATCCTTATTTCCTTTTACTAGAGAATGACTTTAGAAACCAAGATCTGGGCACTAGGTGTGTTTGTCGCTATTGGGGTGTCATTGCTTCTAGACCCTCACATCTGGGAGAGCAAAGAAATATAGATGTGTATACTGACCCATATATGTATGTAACATGTAAATATTCTATATGTAGCTATCCATATCTATATTAAGCTAAACATGAATTCATACTGATGTCTCCAACTGTAATCCATTACCACATTGATCGTTGTAGCTACCTCCAGTAGTGAGAAACCCAGCTCCCATCATTCACTATCCATTTGCTTAATTGTTTAATTCCAGGATACATGTATAGGAGTATCAGAATTAACTCATACCCCTGTGGAAAACAACCTTATCAATTAGAGTACAGTGCTCATGTGTAGTTCCATTTAGTTTTGGTCTTACAGACTCCACTCATTTCCAAAGTTACTTAGGTCAGCACGTTTCCCCTCAACTCCCTTCAGGAAAGTTATTTCATACATTTTGTTAAAAAAAAATTATAGGAGGCCATTGTTTTGGACTAATTTCCTGCACTAGGCCCCAACAGACCAGACTGAAAAATCAAAATGGAGTCACCCCTGCTAAAAGTCCAGGTCACCAAACCCAAACTAAGTGGTTGCCTGAACTTCCGAGAAATCAGAAAAGACAGGACAGCCTATTTCCCAAACAGGCCGGTTAAATCTTGAATAAGCGTGATAATGAAGGTCTCTCTGCTTTAATCCTTATACAAAAAAGATAAGTCTGTTTCTTTTCTGTGGTGGCTGGCCGGTATAGGGACCTGAACCCATGACCTTAATGTCATAAGACCGCACTGTAACCAACTGAGCTAACCAACCAGCCTTTGAAGAGCCAGAGATCTGCCATAGCTCATTTCTTTTCATCATTGAATAATATGCCATTGTATGGATGTACCACAGTTTGTTCATCCATTCATGTACTGAAAGATTTCTTGGTTGCTTCCAGTTTGGGGTGATTATGAATAAAGCTGCTATAAACATTTACATACAGTTTGTGAACCCTGAAAGAGCCAATCCTTCAAGATGGATCCTAAAGTGGCTAACTGGGTCTAAATTCACACTGGAGCCAAGTCACCATTTGCTAACTAGAGGTTATACAAATACCCTGTTTGGGACTTCCACAAGCTACCTGTTCCTGTTAATGACATTGGTCAGCTGCTGCCACCTGAACTTAACCAGTGGACTGTAATCTGTCAAGTGTTCACTGGCCAGAACTCAGCAAGCCAGAATCCTCCTTTTGCATAATGGGCCAAGCCAATCAGAACTGAAAAAGCTTAAATTCCTCATTTGCACAGAGAACCTGAGTGGGAAGCTGGGCAGAACTTTTGCTGTATAAGACAGTCTCTCTCTTTGTTCTGGTGGAATGAATTTTTGTAAAAGCGAACTTTTACTAAAGGCTGTGTCTCCTGGTCTGCAAACCGCTGAATAAAGTTTCCATTATCTCCAAATTCTTTTCCAGTAAAGTTTATTAACAAGGTTTTGATATAGACATTAATTTTCAAGTCAGTTGGGTAAACACCTAGGAGAATGATTGCTGAATTGTATGGTAAGACTGTTTGACTTTGTAAGAAACTGCCACTGAAGTGACTGTAAAAGTTTGCATTTCCACCAGAAATGAATGAGAGTTCTTGTTGCTCCACATCCTCATCAGCATTTGGTGTTGTCAGTTGTTTTTGGATTTTAGCTGTTCTAATAGGTATATAGTGTTATCTCCTTGTTTTTTAATTTGCAGTTCCCTAATGACATGATGTCGAGCATCTTTTCTTTTTTTCTTTTTTTTTTTTTTTGTCTTTTTCCGTGTCCGGCAACGGATCGCAACCCTCAGTGTCGCCCCCGTACCGGACCGGGACCGGCAACGGGATCACAACCCTCGGTGTTGCTCCCGCGCCTCGCTCAGCCAGTGAGCGGGAACCGGTCTGTATGTGGGATCCGAACCCTCGGCGGGAGCGCCGCCGCGCTTCCCAAGCGGCGCACTATAGCAGTGCGCCACCGGGCCAGCCCCGAGCATCTTTTCATATGCTTCTTTGCCATCCGTATATCTTCTTTGGTGAGATGTCTGTTCAGATCTTTATTGGTTGTTTTTTTATTGTTGAGTTTTAAGAATTTTTTGTATATTTTACATACAAATTCTTTATCACATATGTGTTTTGCAAATATTTTTCTTCCAGTCAGTGGCTTATCTTTTCATTCTCTTAACAGTGTTTTTTTATTTGTTTGGTTGGTTTGCTTTTCTTTCTTTCTTTTTTTTTTTAAAAAAAGATGACTGGTGAGGGGATCTTATCCCTTGACTTGGTGTTGTCAGAACCACGCTCAACCAGTCAACGGCCATGCCTATGTAGG